CACACCGACCGCCGGGAGCAACGCACCGCTGGCCGCACCCCTCCCCTCCGGCTTCTCGCCTCCATTCTAAACCTACACTGAAAACCTAGGCACAGTATTGCTTTTCTCTGCTCTGGGGGTCACGTGGTCCAAGGAAAGAGCCGCTATCATATACTTTCTGGGCATATTTAAAAAAAACTGATGGAGCCGGCGTCAAAGAGGGGCCTGGGCCGTGTGCCTAAAGGAAGCCCAGATTTGTCCCCTTGTGTCCCTGCTCCAGCTGTGGGTGATCCCGGACCTGCCCTCTGGGGGATCCCTAGAGGACACTGAGGGTCGCAGAGACTGAAGGCTTGTGGAGTCTGCACACCCCAAGAGGACTGGTTAAACAAGGGGGGGACGGTGATCATGGAACTGGTGCCGGGCCTTTGGACAGGCCGCGTGTTTTCCTTTGGGTTCAGGGACTGCCTGGACCTCCTTCTCTCCTTAGCTGGAAGGAAGTCATTTGGAGGCCGGTGGCAGCTGGCGTGTGCACGTTTCTCCCACCCCTGTACCCACGGCAGGCAAGCGCTCTTCACTGCGAGGCGCTGGCCCGGCTCTGTGTCACGATTATTCCGACAGCAGCCAAGCAGTTGTGTTGCCAACAGCCCTTTATCACCAGGACTCGAGGGTCGGCATGGAAGCTGAGAAATTCAGGCTGTGGAAACTCTGATGGGAAGTGTGTCAGAACCTCCCAGGGGTGCAGTCGGAACTGGGGAGGGGCTGGTGCTCTGGGTCTGGTCCGTGGAGACGACAGAATTCCTCCTCCACATGCTACTGAGGGCGGTTTTCTCTTAAAGCCCCAGGAACAGCTTTTCTTGGGGGTGGGGGGCAGACAGGAGGGTCATGTTTAGTGCTAGACCCTCCCCCGCCACCAGCATGGGCCTGTCCGCAGATGTCTGCGGAGGAGCAGCCTCCTGCTTGCAGGGCACGTGGGGCTGCCGGGTCCTTGGGCATTCCCGGATCCCAGAATATGCGGCTTTGATTAAAAGTTGCCGAGCTTGCTAAGAAGATGCTCATCAGGAACAGAGGTTAGGCCCAAACCCTGCCACGCACACTGCGTGGACAATAAGGCGAGTGAAATCAAGTGTCCTGCATTTCTGGGACTGGCATCATGTGCTGGAGTAACCTCCCCACCGGGGCCACAAAGTGAAGTGCACGGGGACCCCTGCAATGGGTGGGGACCCCCGTCATGACGTGGCTCCAGCCCCTCAGGACAGCAGAGGGTGTCCAGGGCTTCCTGCCTGGGCTCCGGGACTGGACGGTGTCCGGGCGGCCGCCCGATGCTGGCTGGAGGCCACCGTGTTTATGCAACAAGGCCGGGTGGGACCACACCCGCCCACACGTGTGAGTCATGCTCACATACTCTGCCTGAGTCATGCATGCACACTGTCCCCCCTCCAGTGCCACACCTATAGCTGTTGCTGGGCAACTGTGTCCAGGGAGGCCTCTCCCTGCTCTCCAGGGGGAACCCCAACTCAGATGGGGAGGGCTCTTGAGTCTAATCGGGAGGGAATTCTCAACCAGGTCAAACAAGTGCCAGCAAGGAAAGGATTCATTAACACCAGAGTGGATGCAAATGTCAGCGGCCGCTCAGAGGAAAAGGAGGGGGAAACCACTGAATTCCTGTTACGCATGGAGCCATCTCCTGCCAAAGCCAGGGTCACCCGGTGTCCGGTGTCCACTTGATCTGCACGGTGTGGGGACGAGGCCCTCACCACCCCAGGATGTGGGGCACCCTCAGAGCCCCCGGATGGCGTGCGATTCTGTGCTGAGAACTTCTACTTCCCTACTGGTCTGAAATAAACCAGGGAGAGAGAAAAAGATTGCGTTAAGATTAAAAAGCTGAAAAGGGGTCGTGTCAAAGACATTGACCACCACAGGCGGACGTCGCAGAGTTCTTGGCCTTATCGAGGACAAGCTTGCAGAGAGACAAGGGCAATCGGCTTATGCAACGGGAACTTTATTTCTTTAAGACAGTACTCACTTGAGCGAGAGTGTGGGTGACCTCAGAGACGAGGTACATTTAAGGCTTTATTTAGGGTCTGGGGGTTTTACAGGGCCTTTTGTCGGGGTCTGCATAAGGCATGATGTGTATAGCTGATCCACAATTCCTTTGAATTTGTCGCAAGAACAGGGTTATTTAGGTGACTGTGTTGATTCCGATCTCAGCATTCTTTATCCACATAGGTTCACTTACGGTTTGGAGGTCTGCCTCCTGTCCTGGTTATAAAGTGACACTTCACTCATGAAAGAGCTGGCGGAAGAGGGATAGCAGCATATGGATTAAGTTGAAGAATAAACTGGGCCTTTTTTGCAAAGTAGGTAGATTTTACAAGGACATGACCCTTGTCCCATATCCTTGTTCTATCTCCCCAGCACAGCTGCAGGCAGGACCCGCCCTCCTTCCTGCCACCCCGGGAGCATCAGAGACCTCACCCAGTGGAGGGGAGGCTGCACAGAAGGAGACGTGGAGCCCTGGGCCGTTTCAGAGCCGCAGGGGAAGGAAGGCCCTGTGGCTTCCTGCTACAAGCCAGGCGCTGCCAGGGTCCCATATCCCAACAAATTGAAATTCCCAAAGGCGGCCCGGGGCCGTTTCAGGGGACACCCGGGTGCCTCCCAGCCGTGCACGTTTCAGAGAAGCCAGGAGGGGAGATAACACGGGCCTCCCCAGAGCCATGGGAGTGGCCGGCATGCAGCCGGCAGGAGATTATTAGCTGACTCTCTACGGGAACTGGCGGAAAACCGGACACTTGTGCAGCGGGGGAGAATGTTTGCAAACTCTCAGGCTGTTGGAACACCAGGTCCGCCCAGCAGAGCCGCCCGTGCAGGTGTCTGCCCCTTTGACCTGCATGGACAGCCAGCCGCACATCCATCCGCTGGGTGCTCTGAAAGGGAGGTGGTTGACTGCCTCCTTGCCTCCAGCCCCTGGCGGGTGACCGAGAACCCTGGAGGGAGCAGAGAGGGGCCAGCTGTTCCCGAGAGAGGGGCTGGCAGAGGCTGGAGCACAGCAGACCCTGGCAGCAGAGAGGGTGTCTGAAGGGACGCGGTGCATCCCAGAGCTGGAAACGGCTTGTTGGGGGTTGATCTGTGATTGTCTGGGACCGTGTGCCACTGCTGGGTGCACCCTGGCCTCGGTTTTCCCTGCCCTCTGATGCCTGAGGCTTGTCCTGGAGCTCAGACAGAATGCTGGTTCCTTGTCAAGGAGCCCAGAGCCCGCCCTCGGGGTACCCCAGCCGGGCCACTCCAGAGGCTTTGCGGACCCCAGGCAGGATCCAGAACCTTCCTCGAGGGCAGGCCCAAGAAGGGTACACAGGGAAAGAGACCGGGCATCTGGAAGTCACCTCGTTCCCCCAGGGCCACCTCCTTCTGGGTGTGGGGGCCAGGCTGAGGCCACCGCAGGGTCTGGGTGTGAATTCCGACTGTGCCCAGAAAGGTCCGAAACACGGCCTCCGCTGATGGACACACCAACGTCCTGGCGTGAAGCGAAATCCTGCCCCCCTTGCAAATTTAGGATTCCTTTCTGAGACATGCTACCGTGTGGATGAACCTCAAAGCATGATTCTGCATGAAAGACGCAGACCCACGAAGATGTTGGTTATGGGATCCGCTCACGGGAAACGCCCGGAAGAGGCCGATCTGCAGACAGACGTGGATTCGTGGCTGTCAGGGGCTGCGAGGGGTGGGGAGGCCTGCTCGTGGGGACGGGGTGGCCTCTGGGGGCCGGAATGTTCTGGAACCAGACAGCGGGGGTGGTTGTGCAACAAGGTGAATGTGCCAAATGCCCCTGAATTGTCCCTCCATAGGGGTGAACCCACGATCTGCAGCTTATGCGTCCCTAACGATGTGACAAAAGTTTGTCTGCAAAATGTGAGGTTCGCAAGAGCAAACGTTGGCCGATGTCCACCTGATGTTAGAGGCAGTGAGGAGGGAAATGTGTGTGGAGGAACCACTTTCTCAAGGGCCGGACAGCAGCGCGTGCAACCCTGCCACCCTCCGCTCCTGCAAAGGAATTTTTGTGGTTTTTTTTTTTTCTTTTGGAGATAACATTCATATGCGTAAGCATCCCCAGGCCAGCCGTTTTAAAGTCAAGACTTCACTGAATTCAAACTGGGGGTGGAAACCCTCCCCCTGAGGGATTCCAGAGCTGGTTCATCACCCTCAAAAGGAGCCCCATTCCCGTCAGCAGCCCCCCACGGTACCCCGCACGCCACTTTTTATCCCCTAAAGCTGTGAGCCTCCAAGCGGCTTCCCTCCACGTCCCAGACCTCCTGCTGCTGTTTTTAGCGAGGCGGAACCCCGCACGTAAACAGAATGTCTGAGCCCTTGAGCACAGATGGGGGGGAGGCAGTGTGGAGTGTCAGTGACAGCCTTGGGTGTGGGGGGGCTGGGCTCAGTTCCAGGTCTGGTGTGTCTCAGTGATCGAGGACCACACCCCAGAATTCCAGTCTATGGTCCCACTTTTCCTCTGAGCAATCTTGAAGCTAAAAACGGGCTCCCGTCATTTCCTGGTGCATAAACCAGCTCCTTCTAAACCGCTCACAGGCCACCTCCTCCAGGCAGAGCTCCAGGTGTTAGCCCAGAAATGGAATTGGCCCCACTGTCCTGTGGACAGTCTGCGGAGGCATGACTGCTGGGACTCCTTGTCCCTCCCCAGCATGCAACGGGGTTGTGCATAGACATTCGCAGAATGCGTGAATGCTCAGGCTTTCTGAAACATGGACGTGCTCTGCTCGGGTGCTTGAGCCTCCTGCGATCCCATTAGGACCCGTAAGACAATGATGCGGTCACCTCCCGTAAGATGTGTGCTGGTGAGGGACACAGGCCTGCCCAGAAAGATAAGACGTTGGTTTGATAAGCACACAGGCGGTGTGAGCGTCCAGGGGGCTTGGGACCTCTGTTCAGCAAGCTGAGGATGGACCTCTGGCTGAGCCAGGGCCCCTGACCTGTCATCCTGTGTGACCTGTGCCCTTGCCTCCCCACAGGTCAAGGTGATTTCGATTTGGCTGATGCCCTCGATGACCTGGGTAAGTGGTGCCCTGTCTCAGCACCTCTGCTTCTGTGGCCCGTGTGTTTGTTTGGGGGCTGTGTGGGGCCACATTCCCAATTCCCTGCAGGATCCTGGAGATTTGCAGCCACAGCCTCTTTCCCAAGGACGCCTCGGGACAGGGGCTCAGTTGCACTTCTCGGTAGGTCTGTGGCATCCGTGTCTGTGGGGTGGGCATGCTGCTGCTCTCTTTGTGGTTCGTAAACCACAGCTTTTCCCACAGTGTCCCCTGTCATGACTGCGATCAGCCTAGTCCAGCCCGACGGACTCCTGGGCCACCTCCACTCTTGAGGCACCTAGCTTTCCCCTTAAGGGGCATTTATGATTTGAAAGACCCCCCACGCCTCTGTTTTCACCACCTTCAAGTCCAGCTAGAGCTTCCTGCCAGACAGGAAGCTGCACACACGGATTCTGGACCCTAGAGGAAGGGCTGCATTAGGGCCCACATCTGGCTGGGAGGCATGGGTGGGTGGGAGAGGGCAAGGGTTTGGCACACAGGCTCTGTGGAAAGAAAGATAAATACTGGTCTGCTCAGACTGAGATCATAGGGTCTGGCCATCGGGAGCAGCTCCCAGTCACTCAGCCCAGATAACCCACCATGACTGCTGGAGGAAGTGAGAAGACATGTGACAATCAATCCCCAATTTTAAAACGGGCATCAAGGACACAATGATAGAAAGCCACCCCCCTCCCGATTTTCCCTGTCCGTGGAGGCTTTTGGTAATTATTGCTACAGTGGAGCAGACAGGAGGTTATTGTCTATGCTGTAGAGAAATGTAATCGCACACACCCACATGGAGACACGCTTCATCCTGCCTGGGGTGGATGCCATGGGGTCAGAGTGGCAGGGGGCGCATGGTTGCAGCTGCGCTGGAGGGCATGGGGGGCTGTATCCTCTGAGAAGCAGCCTGAGCTGTTGGCACCAGGGGCCGGAATTGATGGACAAGGACTGTGCCCACGCAGAACACCTGCAACAGTGAGGCTGGGCTCAGATGCAGAATCATCTAAGAGGCTTTGACATCGCTGACCTATGAACCTCCTACGTGGGCATGGAAAGCAGGGATTCAAACACATACATGTACAGTAGCATAATTCACAGCAGCTGAAAGGTGGAAACAGCCCAGGCATCCATGGATGGATGGATGAATAAGCACAATGGGGTCCGGCCAAGCAGTGGAATATTATACAACTGTGAAAAGGACTGGGATCCTGACATATGCCACAACGTGGATGAACCTTGAGGACATTATGGCACCTGCTGAGGGGACTTCCAAATGCCTGGGTTCCTCTGTAGTGACTGACCATGGTGCCTGTGCCCTTGGGGCCACACTTTTATCAGCCTCTGTTTCTCTGAGAATCTCCCCCCTGTGGGTCCACCTTCCCATCCAGACCCCACACACAGGCGTACTGTGTCAGATGTTATGCAGACTTGGTGATCCCGCGTCTGTGCAGGCTGACCTCATGGCATCACAATTGCCTGGGGTTGTGGATGACCCTGTGTATGCACTTCCTGGCACCAACAGGTGCTCCGTGAATGTTTGTTGAATGAATAAACACAAGCATGAGGACAGTGAGAGAAGCATCGTTTTGGAAGCAGGAAGCCTCTCTACATATGTTTCTTTCTTCTCTTACCTGCTTGTGAGACATGTGGCCAACTTGCTGGGTCCCGTGCACCAGCTGTGTGCTCTCCTGTCCCGGATGCTTGCAGCTAAGAGGATGTTGCTGCAGCTGTCTGAACTCCCTTACTTCCTGAAAGCCTTCACTCAAATTTACTTCCAAATGGGCTGAGCTGACCACCTTTATAGAGCCATCTCCACCCTCAAACCCCTGCACAGAGCCAGGGAAGACTGGTGGGCATGGGATTTAAGGGAGTGTGCATTCTCTTGGTTCTGAACACAACAAGGAATTTATGTTCATATCACTTCATCATTAGAGCCTTGAGGTTGTCATTTTTTAAATCAGGTATTAATGAATCTCTGAGCTGTTGATAAATCCTTGATACTTATGGAATTTCTCTTCTCTCTTTGTACACAGAGCCCACCAAGAAGCCCAACTCAGGTGAGTGATGGGATGGAGCCGATGCCTTTGGGCTGGTGTTTTTGAAGGGATGAGTGGAGATGTTTACAGGGTGGTGGATCATGTAAAGGATGTGGGTGATAAAGGAAATCCCAGTCACCGGGGAAATGAAAATCAAAATCATAGTGAGATATCACTTATTCCCACTGGGCTAGCTAGCGTCAAACTAGAGGGGAAAAAAAAAACAGGGTTGGCAAAGGTGGGCAGAAACTGGAATCCTCATGCATTATTACTGGTGGGATTGGCAGCTGATGTGGAAAGCAGCCTGGAAACTCCTCTAAAAGCTAAAAATAGAATTCCCATATGATCCAGCAAAGACATTCCTAGATGTATATTAAAAAGAATTGAAAACAAGACTCCAGCAAAAACATATGCATAGATGTTCATAGCAGCATTATTCACAACCACCGAAAGGTGGAAGTGACCCACGTGTCCAACAACAGATGAACAGATAAACAAAATGTGGACCTTCCACACAATGGAATATTACTCAGCCATGAAAAAGGAAGACCCTATGGACACGTGCTCCAATGTAGGTGAACCCAGAGGATGTGAGGCTGAGTGAAATCAGCCAGACACCAAAATATGCAATCATAAATGGACGTATGATTCCATTTATGTGAAATGTTCAAAATAGGCATTTCCTGTCCCTGTGTAAGCCTGCCTGCGTGGAGTGAGTGTAGTCCCCTCGTGGGCCTGGCCAAGGGTACTTCAAAACAACAAACTGGCATTAACAAAAAGATGGAATTAAATTCCAAAGTTAAGTACTAGGAGCCAGTTACAGGGAAATTGGGAAGGGGGAGAATTGAGTCCCAGTAATCCAGTATTGCTGGATTTTGAGTGGATTTGACTCACATTTTCTTGTTAAACATAAAATTTGAGTGTATATTCCTACATGAGTTGAGGAGAGAAAAATGAAGAGAAGGTAAATTTGATAAAGTAAATAGAGGTCTGGAAAGAATTGTAAAAAAGGACCATCAAATTTGTCATTGTTAGATCCTTTTTTCATGTCCCTCTGCCATTTCTATATTTTAAGGAATTTAATTATGAATTCAGGAACCAGTACTTTAATACCACCACATGTCTACCTATGAATCCCTTCCGATAACCATCACCCTGTCAAAGATCAACAGTCTACTGAACTTTGCCTGAATTGTTTCCCTTGCTGTGTTTAATTTTGCCTCATCTTCGATGTGCCTACCTAAATACTAAAAGTTTATTTCCTTTTTACCATTTTCATGAATCCCCCCTTCCCTACCTTCCCACACCCCACCTTTGAAAGTCACCAATCTGTTCTTTGTATCTGTGGGCTTGGTTTTTTATTTTATTTTTCAGATTCCATTTATAAGTGCATCATATGGTATTTGTCTTTCTCTGTCTGACTTAAACGCCCTCAGAGTCCATCCTTGTTGTCACAAACGTCAGGATGTCTTCTTTTTCATGGCTGCATAATATTCCATTGTATATGTATATAAACCACCTTTTTTTTTTTCATCCATTCATCCATTGATTTTGGCAGAATAGAGGGATATGTTTTACAACTTCAGGGTAGTAAGAATTTTCTTAGGTAAGATTCAAAAAGCACAGAGCTGTAAAAAAAATCCATCAATTGGCCAATGCTAAAATATGAAACAATAATTATAATAATCTCTTAAGCACAGACTCTCCAAAGTGGGAATGTAAGTTGCTGGCTAGCAGAGGCTCTTTGCTGCTCATCAAACCAGAGAAGGTTTAATATACAAAATACATTGGTAGCTCCTTCCAAAAAAAGACAGATAGCCAAAAAAGAGAAGGCAGCTCAGAGGATAAGACGCCAACACCCTACACAGGTAAGAAAAAGTGCCCAAGGTCACACATATTCAGTCACAGACCAACGGAAATCACACCCAATGGGTTAAAGTTCTGGCAACTCCCCTTTATGGAAAGTCAAGCTGTTGCACATTGCGGCTAAGATGGTAACCCAGAAACCTGATTTGGAGAGCTGTTTAAATATAAGCATTGCTCTTCCCCGGAAACTCCACTACTGGGAACACACAGCCGAAGCTCAAGGACTTGCATGTGAAGACACATGCAGGGAAGGGTTGGTTATGGCATTGTTTGTAAAAGGGAAAAAAGAAAAATAGAATCCCTCAGAGTCCATCCATCAGGTCATGGGGGGAAACAGGCATCAGAGTGACTCATTTGAAGGGTGCATCTCAAAAATGGAGTATGCAGGGTTAATAATACCACACTGCGTACCTCCAAGTTGCTAGGAGAGCAGATCTTAAAAAAGTGTCGTAACTATATGTGGTGGCACACGTCAGCTAGAGTTACTGTGGTAATCATTTGCAATATATACCAATAATGCATCCTGACGTCTCACACCTGGAGCTAATATAATTCTATGTCAATCCTACCTCAATTTTAAAAATTACATATATGCATATATATATATAAAATAAACAGCTTTAAAAGAGAGAGAGAGAGAAACAGCCAGAATAAGCGCATGTTTACTAAGAACATTGACACCACTTATGCACCAAAGAAATGATATGTATGTAGTAAAGTGTTAAAAGTCAATTAGCACAGGTGCCCTCTGGAAAAGAGGTGGACTGAGAGGTTTACACCGAGCCAGATATTCCTATTTTGAAAAGGAAGAAAAAAAAAGTTACAAATAGAGTAAAATACAATTTCTTTTCTGGGGAACAAAAATGAGTTTTTTTTGTGTGTGTATGGTGTTTTCCTTTAAGTTCTCGGTTTTGAAGGTTCACTGCAAGGGGCTGAGTGGTGGGCGTCTGTAAGCCCGTGGGCAGCAGATGTGAATAAGATGTGGACGCTGCAGTGGCGAGGGTGTTTCACAGGCTGCTTGTAAGGGAGGGCTGCTTTTCTCTGCTAAAAGCGCGATGTCGTTTTCCCCACAGATATCTACCCGAGGCCGAAACCGCCTTATCGTCCACAGCCTGGAGATCCCAGCAGCGGTGGAAGTAAGGCTTCCCAGCGTGCAGACTCATCTGCAGCCTGGTTTCAGTGAAACTGGCTTTGGAGTCATTGGGAGGGTTCACGTGGCTGTTTCAAAAATAAGTAAAAGGAAACTTGAGTTCAGGAAAGGGTGAATCGACAGTAATTACCTTAATGTCCAGCTCCCCTGACACCTGGAAAATATTTCATCTTCTGTGGGCATTGTGTGCCAGTGTGATCGATTTTTAACTTGGCTAGAGGACAGGTTGTTTTTATAGCCTATTTGTGGCTTTCCAAACAGGTTTGCCTTCAAGAAATCCCCTCCGGACTATGCATTATATATCATTTATTGTCAGTGTCCCCACTGGAAAGCAGGTGGGGGGTGGGACATTGGCCAATAAAGGCAAAATATCCTTATGTATCCAACACCGGTCAAACCCTAAAATCTGCTCTGGAGACACGGAGGGCTTCTGGAACCTTCTTCTGGAGCTGAGAAGTCTGAAACTCACCTCCTTGCAGGAAGAGGCTGCTGCAACTAAGGATGAGATCGAGGCTGTTACCTAATCAAAAAGCCACACCCAACACTAAATATATTTACGGGATGGTTAGCTGACCTCTTTTCCTGCATTATTAGCATCCCCAGTTCCGTGAATTGTTCCTCATACTTAGTCCTTTGAGTATTTTCTGAAAGCTGATGTTGCATGGACCACTTCCCTTCTACACAGTACTGGGAGAAAGTTCTTTCTTGCTCCAGTCTATTCGGGAAACACTGGGGTGGCCATATGGCCACAGGCTTTCCTCTTGAGGGACTCCTCTGGACTCAAAGTGCCAGCGTTCCCCTGGGATGAATCAGCAGATCTAGGGTGACTCATCAGCCCCGGGAGTGGAGGCCACTGCACAGCCTGTTGGTTGGGGGGACCCTCTGTGCATCAGGTCTCCGGCTGGGCGTGGAACCATTCTCGAATAAAGAGGGACATTGTTTTCCTGTCTCTGTTTTTATGCTGTGCTTAAAGCCGGTAGGATGATGCCTTTCAGACGACCCTGAATTGTTCATGTATCTGTGGCAGGAGACACGAGAGTCTTTTGGGACACTGGGAAAGAGGAAAATCAATGCACACACTAAATCAACAGGGAAATCCAGTCGGTTAGGACTTAACTATGGGAGCTGCCATATATAGGATGTACTCCTTACATAGCACGGTCACCCGGGCTCACCCAGGCTCCTGCATAGGTACCTAGAAAAGGAGGATCCATCATTGAAAGCAGTGGTGAAAAGTGCTTTGAATATAGGTGTTCTGGAACATACAAGAAAGGCCACTGTGGGGGGACAATATTGACAAATGAATGGATGGAAAGTTATGGCAGTTCTGCAAGGTCCTGCCCCTCAGGGATTTGACAGACAGCTGGGGGATGAGTTTACAGGTAGTCACCATACCACAGCAAGTCCCGTTAAGACTGCTACAAGGTCCCATGAAGCCGGGGGTCCTTCTCTTAGAAATAGACGGAGGGGAACCTAAGATTCAACTCGGCAGCACCTGTTCCATTCAGCTCCATGGCTCCCCTGGGGCACCGACTCCATTTCCCAGTCCTGCTGTTGGGTTTATCCCTCATGTCTGCACCTGCCCCTTCAGGAGACCCTGACGTTGCACTCTGCTCGTCTCGCTGGACCCCGGCCTTGGCTCTCCATGGTGTTTTGAGAGTGCTCATGAGGGAGGCACAAATTCTCTTTGCTGGAAACTGTCATGGGGTGAATTGTGTCCCCACCAAATTGACATATTGAGATCCCAACGTCCAGGAGCTCAGAGTGGGACTGTATTTACAGACGAGGTCCCTGAAGAGGTGATTAAGGTAAATTGAGGTCATCAGGTGGGCCCTGGTCCCTCAGGACTGGCATCTTTATAAGAAGAGGCCATCAGGACACTGACGCACACAGAGGGATGACCATGTGGGGGACACAGAAAGAAGACGGTGTTTACACACCCAAGAGAGAGACTGGAGGGCCAGCCCTGCTCACACCTGAATCTTGGACTTCTAGATTCTACAACTTCAAGAAATGAATGTCTGTTGTGTTTGTCCCCAAGTCTGTGGCATTTGATTAAGGAAGCCCTGGAAGACTCATACAGAAGCTTTGCTTAGTTTCTAAGAAATTGCTTAAATTCACAAACATGTCTGCTTTTACCCTTTTGCATTTTTATTTTAAGTTCCTCTGCTTTTAAATGGTGGGTTTACTTGGGAGGCTGGGATGGAGTCCAGAACCTCGTGAAGGAGCGATTGATGTAGGGTTGCTCTGGACTGACTTCTGAGAAATGCAAGTTCTGTGTCTGGCATTTGAACGGCGCCCCGATTTCAAGGCATCTCAGAGAAGCATTTTGTGCAGAGGCACTCTGCCTGGTGACTCCAGCGGGAGGCAGATGCTGGCAGAAATAAAGCTCCGGGGGCAGGAGGCTTGGGCTAAGCTTCAAGGACCACTGAAGGGCATTGTGACCAAAGTTAAGAAATGCCAATGAGAGAATGTGTACACACAGGTGGATAGTACAGCACAGCATCAAAGACAGGTGACTGGCTTTCGTAAACAGTTCTGGCATTTGTGATAACCCTAGGCATGGGAATATTGACAGCCGAGCATGCACCGTATAACTTTCTGGAATCCATGAACTTCTTGCCATAAGAACCAGATGGGAGCCTCAGGAATCCACAAGCTTCCTGCATAAGAACCAGGCAAGGAGCTTCAAGAATCTGTGAACTTCCTGCATAAGAACCCGATAAGGAGCCTCAGGAATCCACCAGCTTCCTCCATAAGAACCAGGCGAAGTGCTTCTGGGCACAAAGATGCTTTCTTAAGCTTCATGCTTGAAGATTTTCCATGAAAAGAGAGTCCATGAGAGGTCTGAATGGCAAATATAGATAAGCCATAAGGTTGCTTTGTATTTTAGTCTTTACTGTGTGGGTGGTTCATCGCTGGGAGATGTCATTATTTTCCTAAATTCACCTTGTTATTTTCTAACAGATATCTACCCCAGGCCGAAGCCACAGCCTCGCCCGCAGCCTGGAAGTTCTGACCACGGTGGAGGTAAGTCTCAGGAGTGTTAAGACATGTGTCAGAAGCATTCCCATACGATGTACCATTTACTGTCCTGAAATTTCCACCCTGGATGGTGAGATACCAGTTGCTTTTGAAATACCCAGAGGTTCTTTCCCAAGGAGCCCAGTCTTCTCACCAGCACCCAAGCGTATGTCAGCAGAACACATTTTCTTCTCTTTTGGTTTACTGGACTGAAAAAAAGGATCGTGCTCCAAAGACAGGCTGTGTTTCTTAGGAAGGAAAGCGATGCTTTCTTTGTCCTTTGCTGTTCTTTTTGGATGTTCTGTTGACTTTGGCTTCCCTTTTTGAGAGGCACTGGGGCCACGTTGACAGAGTTCCAGGAATATTTCATGTGAGATTTTGGGGAATGACGTACAAGTGGGAAGGCCACTCAGGAACGTGTGCTGGCGGATGACAATGGAAGCATCTCAGCAGTTCCACTGCTTGGACAAACACATGCGCAGACAGATGGGTGTTGGGGAAGGCTAAGCTACGCTGAGCATCTTAGTTTCTTCCGGCTCTGACAATAGGGCGCAGCCCTGTTTCGGACGCTCTCATTCCGGAATTCCAAAACACTCATGGTTACGTCCAACTGGACAACCTACAGATATGTTCAAGCACTGTTTCCTGCAAGGCTTGGCTTGGGGGCATCTCCATCTCCAAGACCAGACCTCCTGACCCTAAAATGTTGTCTCTGCACACCCCACTCTCCTTGGCCAGCCTTTCTCCACATTGCTTTGCTCTGCGGTGTCTTTTATGTTCTAATAAGCCATGTCATGATGTTGTTTTTAATTAATTTCCTTGAATTAGAACAGAAAATTCACAAAGGTATGGGACTTTGCTTTCCTTTACTGCTTTCTGAGCCCCAAGCACTGCGGGACATATAACAGGTCCTAGATAAAGATTGGTTACGTGAACAATGTCGGAGCCAATTTCCTCGATGGAGGACTAATTCCTAAATGCCTCCGTCAAGCACAGACCCTCAACTCTGTTTGCTGGAAATGTCTGCAACAGCCCCCACACCCCCAAATCCCTGGCCGGCCCTGTGATTCACAATGTCCTTGAATATGTTAGTAAGGGATTCTCATCAAGACTGTCCTCTATGCAAAGATGTTTCAGGAGATACCCCTTTAAATAAAATAAAATAGATTTCTTGAGGTCCCCAGAGCCTTGAGTCTAATCTTGAAATTGCTGTCGTATCTCCAACTTTGGACATTTCTTTGAGCGCAGGACGTGCTTAGGGACCTACTGTGTAGGGTTCCTCTCCAACCCTGCTCTGGGAATGTTTGGCTGATGGAGTGAAATCAACCACCCTTCCAAGCCTGATGGGTTCCCTGACCCCTGTCCCTGCAAGCAAGGCGGGCTGCCCACCAGACACCTCCCTGGGACATGTGACCGTTTGGCCCCTGTGTCCTGGCGTCCTGCAAAGGGGCCTGCCCCGTTCCCATAAGCTGCTCATGCAGGCTTGCATTTAAAGAGGGCTTTACCTGGGGAAGGGTTTTAGAAAGGCCCTATTCTCCACCCCACAGGTTACTTCAGCGATGTGGACCCGGATGATGGCCGCTACCCACCCAGGCCCAGGCCACCTGCAGGTACGCACAGGGCTCCTCTGCCTTGGTTGGGGAGGGTGTTGGGGTGGCCATGGCCCCGAGTGGAAGATGGTGTTCTGGGCCCAGTCCCGCAGCACTGCATCGGTGGGGGGGGGGTGTTTGTCATATTTGTGCATTGTGCGGGTTTGTGAGGTGGACAAAAACTGGCAGTGGGACAGACTCCATTTAAAAATCAGGTGCTTGTCCTTATATGGACATGTGTGTGTATCCATTTATCTGTATCATATACATGTGTGTATACATATGCACACCTTTATACATACACTTGTATACATACCGTATGGATCATTATATGTGTATGCACATATGTGCCTTTATACATGTAGGTATTTCTATTTGTATTTCAATATATATCCCTTTATTTGCACTTATATATATACTTTATATGTGCATGTACATATTTACATGTCTGTGTTTACATATACATTTTTATAAATACATATATGCATATTCCTCATAAATATGTGTTTATATACATATATTTCTTTATATAGTGTGTATGTATATGTGTATATTTCTGCATATCTTTATGTATATATAATTTATATACATAACACTCTATATGTTTGCATATATATTTATATATGTATCTTTGTATATATGCATATACCTATTTTTATATAGGTATATATGTACACCTTTATATATGTACATTGATATTTTATATGAATATATTTATGTACCTTTATGCACATATATCTTTATGTGTTTACATATCTTTTTGTATATTTATATAACTTTTATATGCATATATGCACTTATATATGTATTTATTGTATACTTTTAACATATATAAATATGTGTGCATATATATTTTTATACTCACAAATATATAAAATTTGTATGTGCCTATATCTTTATATATATACATATATCTTTATACACACATGTACACATGAAATTCATATGTGCATAATCTTTATGTACACATCTTTTACACACATGTATATATAAAATTTTAATGTAAATTTTTTGTGCAATTGGCATGTGCATCCATGCATAGAGTTTTCATACATAAATATATAAAAAAATGCATAAAGACAAATAAATGTATTTGTGCATGTTAAACTACAGATACAAATAAGTGTAAATATATAAAGTATATACATCTATGAAGCATAGAGTCCATACATGAATATACAAAGAGCACACAGAAATGCATAAAGTGCAAATACACATGCTCTTTCTGGAGACAGAAAGGCGCAGACTTTATGAGAGGGCAGCTCTCCCGGCCGGGACCCACGGTGCAGCGTGCAAGGCTGTGTTTCACGGTGCAGGAGGTCTCTCATCCGCTCAGTTCTGCGATTTAATTTAGGAGAAGTAAAGGACCTCTCCCCGATCTCTCGCCAAGGGGTGTATTTGTCATATGGATGAGCAGGTGGCCTCTGCCCATCTTTTCCAAGAGGGTTAAACGCCGTCAATCCGTAGGTTTGTGTGAAGGCTTATTGCAGTGATGGCCAGAGAAACACGAACTGTCCGTCTTTCATCAGGGGCACCGATGGCTGGTATGGTCTGCCCAGACCTCCTGGTCACAGCTGAGCCTGCATTTGGGTCTCTGGTTCTGCCTGAATTTCTGTACAGGAGGCGGACATGGCGGTGTTGTGGTATGAGGCCCTTGGGGTGCACATGTCTTCTCTGAAGTCCTTTCCACAGGGCCATGTCTTGGTGTGACTTTTCCCACCGGGAGTCCCTGACTTTGGAAGGCTCCCTGGTGGCCCCTGCTTTTTGCCACCATGTGGGGCTCCTTCTGCAGTAACTCTGGGGCACGACTTTGTCACCATTACCGATGACCCAGGCAGACACCTGCTTTTCTCCCACAGGAGGCGGTGGAGGCTACAACCCCGGTTATGACGGCTACGGAAACACGCACGGTACAGCCAGGGTGGGGGCCGCGGGGGGTGCTGGGCTGGGGGGCTGTTTCTCTGGCTCCCAGCTGCACCCCGCATGCCTTCCTGCAGAGTCCTGGTGTGGGTTTGCTCTCTGCCGGCGAGCGCTCTCCCATGCCCCCGCCTGGCCGGACTCCCCGGCTCTCCCACCTCTGCTGTCCCGGGTGCCGCCCCACCCACCCTAATCCAGGGCGTGAGAAACAGCAGGGGACCCACGGTCCTCATTCCGGGGAAGCGTGAAGAGCACTGGGGCCTCTCCATCAGGCGGCTGAGCCATTTCAAATAGAAAACACTTCAGGGGAGCAAATAACGCCAAAGGAAAAAATAGGACTTCCTGCAGGAGGGGTAGACAGGGTCCTTGTGTGGGCTGAGCGTTCCTCCAAGCCGCCCGTGGGTCCTGAAGTCCTCAGACAGTCTCTGGTTCTGTGCAGGACGATTGGGAGCCACATGTCATCAATGGCAGAAAAAAACAGTATGGACTGATGTTTTTAAAAACTTGATTTGTACTTGACATATACTAGTTTCACGCGTACAACATAGTGATTCAGTATTTCTGTTATTGCCAAGAAATCACCCCAATAAGTCTCCTGAACATCTGTCACCCCACAGTGTCCATATTTTTTCTCATGATGAGGACTTTTACGATTTCCTGCCTCGGCAGGTGTTTAATGTACAACACGGCCTTGTTAACTACGGTCACCGTGCTGTGCATTGCGCCCCCAGGACTTTCTACTTTATAACTAAAGTTTATGCCTTTGGACCCCCTTCAACCTCCAGGCAATCTGTGGATCGATTTTAAAGCATTCTTTTTTGTGTAGTTGCCATTAGTTAAGGGTTCTGAGCATCACTTGTGAATGGAGGGCGCATCTTTTTGGTGCGAACTGGTATTTCTGTGGGGTTCTAACACAATGTGCCTTCTTCCCAAGGGGATGAATCTTCCTAACCTCTGGAGGGAGAGCTGTTATCACCTCAGTTTTACAAACGGCAGAGACTAATGCTCACTGTGTCCACGTTAACGGACAGACAGCCGTCCCCATAAGGTGGCCCTGTCAAGAGCTTCAGCTTTGAGCTCAACGTGCTAACAGGACACTCCTGTCTTCCTGTTCCTACAGAAATAGCAGGGCCAGAGCCATTTCAGTCTTTTTATGAACGGCCACGTGGAGCCGGGTCAGGCAAGCCCTTGTCCCCCATGCACATGCCCCGTAAGAGTCCCTGCGTGTCCCTTTGGCCAGATGCACAAAGTTAGAAAGAAATGACTCATCCCACAGTGGCTCCGGAGCCCCAAGAGTTTCTGTGAGTTCTTTGGAGCATCAGTCAGGACCGCATTGGCACAGCGGGTTTTCCAGGAGCCGGACGCACGCCCATCTGCACGATGGATCTTGTATCCTGAAGGCTAAACTTTTATAAAACATCCGGTGCTCACGAGCGGGGCTGGGGCTGAGCGACTGGACAGAGCTGGTCTGGCCCCAGGGGCCCAGCACGGTTCCAGGGGCTCCACGCTCATGTTCGTGTCCGGCTCCTGCCAACACCGTCTCCCGTCGGTGTCTGGAGCCCCGTCCTCCGGCTCTGAGCTGGGCGAGGCTGTGAGTCCCATCAGCGCGGGGTGTGGGCTCCGCAGCAGGTGAGTCACGCAGCCTCTCCCTGCAGGCGGCAAAACGTGTTTGACACCTTCTTCCTCAGGTGGAATGCGGACAGGCCGGGGCTGACCTCGGTCCCAGGGCTGCTCTGCTTCCTGGTGATGGGGACACAGGTCCCCTCGTGTCCTGAGACCTGCTTTTAAAGGGCGGGTTTCTCTAATGCCCAGTGCACCAATCTGCTCAGGTCTCCACAGCAAAGGACACCTGATGGGTGGTGTATGCCTCACACATTATGTCCCCTGTCTGGCGGCTGGGCCTCGTGAGCCTCCCTCCTGGGCGTGTGGACCGTCTTCTCCCTGCGTCCCCACGGGGTCATTCTCTGTCCTCATCTCCTCTTACATGGACACCAGTCCTATGGAATCAGGGCCCCCCCTGTGACCTCAGTTTACATCAATCTCCTCTTTAAAGAGTCATCTCTGAAAACAGCCCCATTCTGAGGTCCAGGGGGTGAGGCCTGCAACATATGAATTTAGGGGCCGTGCAGTCTAGCCCCAGAGAGCCATTATCCACGTGGAGGAGGCAGTTAATTAACTCATTCTTCAGTATTTAAACAATTCCCACATAGGCTATTCCACTTCAAAAGGAATGAACTTATCACCAAGCCATTGGTTAGCACCATGTCGAAGCTTTCTTGAAAAATTTGCCCCCAGATCTTACAAGAAGGACCAAGAAATGTCCCTTCCTTTTCCCTGGCTGGGACTACAATTTGGGGTCCGTTTCCCTGGCAGGCCGGCCCCTCCCACACTGGCTGTTCTCTGACCGCACAGCACGTGTTTGCACGCAGGCTGAGCCACATCTGCTCTTCCGGGCCGAGTGTTAACGTGACTTGGTCTTGGTGGGTCTGAGGATGCCGGCAGAAGCCACGCGGTTTGCAGGGCAGGCTCAGCCCCCAGTGTGCGTGGTGGGAGGACGCCCCCAGGGACTGGGCTTTCCCTCTGCGAGGGTGAGATCCGGCCAGCCTCCCACGCACCCTGCCTCAGGCGGGTGGGCTTGTTCATCACGGTTCTTGGGAGATGGGGGTCTTCCGTCTCATGCGCTCTTTCTGTCCTGCCTGCAGGAGGAGGGCGGTATAGACCCAACTCTCATGGAAGTCATGGTGGTACAGGGAGTATTTTGTAAAAGCTGGGTGTGGGGAGGCTGTCTTTCCCTAGAACTAATGCTGTCTGGGTGCCTGGGGAGCTCATCTTATGCCTCCTGCATGGAAGCTAATTGGCCCCCAGGGTCTCTGCTTATGGGCTCACGGGGTCAGCGAAGCATTCCATGTGGCCTTAATTCCGGAAGGACGAAGGCTGGCATGCAGTGTTACTGTGGGTGTATGCGCCCACATGTGTGTGTCAGAGTAAGCGTGTGCACGTGTGGGTCCATCTGTGTGCCACACACACATTCATGTGAATGTGCGGGCATGGAGGTATGTATGCAGATATGTCCTGTGTGTATGTGCATAGGGCACGTGAGGTTGTACATGCATGTGCATATGTTTTGTGCATGTGTGCATTGTTTGTGGGGGGTATGTACACGTGTATGTATGCCTGTGGCTTTTGCACATATGCATTCCCGTATGCACACGTGTTGCCATGCCCCCTGCACGTGTGGGCATGTGCATTATGTAGAGGTGTGTGTGCACGTGTGTGCATATGTTCCATGCACAGCATGCACATGGATGCTTGCACACACGCGTGCATATGCCTTCACCCCTGTGATGGAAGCGAGTCTCTGGCTCCCTCGTGGCCCAGCCCGCTGCTCCCCATCCCACACAGGGTCCACGCCTCCGTCCTAAGGCTGCCGCCCCCTGGGAGGCCAGTCTTACGCCCTCTGCTCACGATCCTGTCCCCAGCTCCCCACAGCGCCCAGCAAGGCGAGGTGCTTCCAGATGCATGACCATGTGGCTTTCCCTTCCAGGTGGAGGCGGATACGCGGGTTATGACAACATGCAGGGTGAGGCCCGGGGCCCCTGACGTCTCAAACACCCCGCGCTGGCCTTTACTGGGGGAAGGGCTGCTGAGGGCCATGTTCAGCCTGATGGCTCTTCTGCAGGAAGTCCTGAACCCAGATGTGTCCCTTCAGCACAGAAGCAGCTCTGGGGGCATCAGAAGAGACGAGGGGGTTGATGCCTCCCAGCTTTGAGAGCAGGGGTTCCTGCAGCCACCCCACTGCCATCACACTCCCCATCCTGTGCCTGGTACTAACGTGAAGCCAAGCAGGAGAAGGGGAGAAATTCGTGGACATTTTGCCCCAGAAAAGCCCCCAAGCACCCTGCCATGTCAAAAAGCCAGGGGCTGAAGTGCGGGAGGCAGGCTGACCTGTGCTTTGGTGGTACATACAGGGTCCTGTGGCAAGATAGGGGGGCTCCCCCTCGACTCGGCTGGGGTGTGGGCAGGGAACATTTCCTGGAGGCAAGATGTCCAAACCATGTGTCCTGGGAGCCTCCTGCAGGGAGTCCCACATATCCGCCCCCTCCTACATGCCTGGTGCTTGACCCAGGCCGATGGAACACACGGCTGGTTCTCTCCCATGGATGCAGCGATGTCTCCCTTTGGGGTGGAGTGGGTTTTTGCCACACAGGTCCCCCACCTGGGGTCTTTGGAAAACCAAAACTTCCCCGTGAGCTTGCCTTGAAGGCATTGATGTCCAGCGGGCACCAGTGCCCAGAGCCCCACTGTACATTGAACACTTGGGTTCAACGTGTTTTGTGGGGATTTCTTTTTGCATGACTAAACATTCCAAGTCTAAAAAGGTACAAATCTGACAACCTAAACAAATCTCCCCAAAACACATCAGAGCAGCTTCTGTGCGCTTCTCTGCCTTTGATGCCCCAGACGGGACCGGGCACGGCACACTTAATAAAATAAAAAGCTGAGCAGAACCTGTTCCTCAGGTTTCTCACTGAGATCTGCTCTTTTTTTCCACGGATGTGACAGTGGGGAGGGCGAGGGGACGTGGGTGTGGAGCTGTTTAAAATAAGCGTTCTTCTCAGAGGACTGTGCTTTTGTCGACTCTGGCAGGTAACACAGTAGCGAAAATCGTGTCTCCCATCGTATCGGTGGTGGTGGTGACCCTGGTGGGCGCAGCGGCCAGCTATTTCCAGTACAACAGGAGGAGAAACTGCTTCCGGACACACGGCAAGTTGCCCTCCAGTTTTCGGAGTTCTCATTCTAAAGCATGATGAAAATATTTTCTGGCGTATTTCCCTCGCCATGGTATATTCCTGCTTAAGTCCGGGAGTGACCCCCTGGCCCCATGCATTGATTGTAAGTTGGGGTTTTATCACAGACACACGGGAGTGTCACAGAAAACAGTGCATGCATTTTAATAGAGGACATGTTCCCCTTATTAGTTTAAAATACTTTGCGACCTGCATGATTTGGCATGCCAGCAAACTGTAAGTAACTAATGCACACTGGACATTTCCCAGTGAAATTTTTAACAGAAGCAAGTCAGGAAAAATACTTGTGTTCCACCTAGAATGTGCGCATCTTTGTGCCAAGAGAAACCCCCAATTGTCAAGCTTTCTGTCGCATTCAGAGGCTATGTGCAGACCCTGCAGAAATGGGTGGGGGTCCTTTGGATTTCTGCTTCAGGGTGGGGTCCTCGCTCTGGATTTGAAGGCTTGTGCCCGGCCGGATGCACTTGGGTGCAGAGGTCCTGGCTGCCGGTGCCTGAATGCCCCAGAGACCCAAAGGGAGGGTCAGAGCTGAGAGAAGGATGCTTTATTGCAGAAACAGCAGCTCAAAATTTAACTGGGGGGCGGGGGGAATTGCAAGGTTTGGTCCCAAGACCACCCATGTCTGAATCTGTCTGGGCTTCGCCGGCTTCACCCCGTCAGGCTCCTTCTGTCCTCAGAGGAAGCTATGAACCAGAAACCGATTCTGTCTTTTCTTCTGCATTTTTGTGCCTTCAAAAGCCTCAAAACCTGCCGGCGGCCTCCCTCTGCTGGTGGATAGGAGGTACTGACTGATGCCGGGCAGGCAGACACCCCCACGGTTTGCAGGGGAAACTGACCTAGAACCTGACATTCGTGACTAGGCGCCTTGTTATTCACACAGGCACCGTGCGTTTCCTTCGGGGCATCGCCGGCGGTGACCTGTAAGCCCTCGTGAGCCCCTGAGCTCAGGGCTGGAACAGGTGGGGGGAAAAGGGAGGCATTTGTCCCAGGCACAGAACGTTAAGCGTTAGCGAGGCGGCACCCACAAACTCAGTTGTCAGGATACATGGTATTCTAGTGCGGCATGAGAACCCGAGTCACGATTTGGCAAAGTCTGGCCTGGGTCTTGCTGTCCGTTTGCATAAAGTTTTCTTGGAACCCGGGGCCGAAGTGAGATGAATAAGGCAGGGATGCACAGATCCATGCAAGCCCAGACTCCGCCTTTTTTCAGATTGCGAGCCTATCGTGGACTTTGTGGCGCATTAATTTTGATGTTGTTTAAAACATGGCGTTCAAGTGTGACTGTGTATCTTGATTTCTGAGTTTTCTGGTGCCTGCGGGAAGTTTTTGTGTCCACATGTCTCGGCCGATTTGGATTTCAGGAGCAGGTGGAGGTTTTTTTGGTTTCTTTGTTGTTGTTGTTTTTTTAATGTGGGTCACAGCCTCCCAGTTTATGAGAGGTGAAGGCCTTTTTTGGAAGCCCTTTCCTGTGTTTTCGGGGATGACACAAATATCCCACCTACTTCTTTCATTGTGTTTCTATGGTAACATCACCAAGTCCACCCAGGACGGAGTAAGCCAGGGGTGCACACAGGCTGTCCCGCCATGAGGGGACCCCTCCCAAGGTGGGCAGGACCAGTGCTGGGTCAGCGTGGTCTTGCTGGTTGCAAAACTCTATAAGCGGTCTAAGAAACAGGAACCCCCAGATGGGAGGCAGGGCTACCACAGGTGGACACGAAGCTTTCCTGCTAATGTCGCCCAACATCCATGAGTTCCATCAGCGATGTCACCTGTCTCTGAAGGATGGTTGACATGGTCTGTTGACCCATGTGTAGGGATGAATCGCAGTGCACTAGCTGGGCAGCTGTTTGCACAGCGCAGCCTCACCCTGCAGTGTGAGCAGCTTAAAGGGCCCGTGTTATGAGGACGGGGCCACCTCCAGGGTGACCGATGTCTTTCCCTCAACGTGGACTGTGTGACCATCATCCCTCACTTTTATTCTGCAAAACAGAAGTAGCAATAACTCTGATATCAGAGATGAGGATGTCTAATGGGACCACATCCCCAAAAGCGGTTCATACAAAATTCGTTGCGACCAAAAAGGTTATTCATTCGGTTCATTCACGTTGCTTAACAAATGGCAAACAGTAAAAACGATAATAATGCTTTAAAATCCATCCATAGAGTTGTTTTTTTTTTTAATTTTCCGCCTGGAGATGACATTTTCCTCCTGCTTTTCCCTTGCAGAACCAGAGAACATCTGAGGATTTCAAGACCCACCAGTTGCCTTAAGAAAATACGAGTCCAGACAAGTACACCGTTTATCCCTCTTGCAGAAAGTTCTTTTTTATTCTTGGTGCCATCTGCCTTCCCAGAGTGGCTTCTGTCCCGCTCAGAACACGAGCTGCCTGACCAAGTGTTCCCGCCACACAGGATACATTAGATGGCCCAGCTCTGGGCTGTAAAGAGGTTGCTGACCTGTGGGTTCGACCACAAATTTGGACTCTGTTTGGGGTTGCCAGCTACCTCACAGGGTGGCAGGCACATATTTGACCCCGTGGACCTCATCTGCATGCACAGTGGCCATGAAACAGCCTGGGGTCTTGGGTGGGGATGTTGTCTGCTTCTGAGAGAGGAAGAAGGGGGTGCAGGTTTCAAACAAGCTGAGGCCAGAAGCTGGCCTTCCGTCGCCCTGTTCAGCTGCGTCAGAAGTCCCGAGTGTTCACCTTGCAGGCAAAGGGGGAAGGGATGACTCCCCCCAGCAATGTGAGCATGATTTTCACAAATACGCATCCTGATTCCCTGGAGAAAACCAGAGTTGGAATGTCAAATGCAAAATCACTGGTTCAGACCATCTCGGGGAACGGGTCTTCGGATCCGTTGTCGTGTGAAATCTTACGGTTTCGATGTTCTCTGCAAAGCACAGAACTGCAATGCAGATATGCACATGTTGGGTCTTTCCGTGTTTATAGACTCTGATGCTCTCAAGGTACTGATTCTTCGGGCAACCGCATTGTTTCCCCTGGTGTATGCTTTTTATTTTTACAGGAATACAAAATCTTAAATCTTCAAACATCTAGGACGTATATTCACTCTTCTTCTGTTCTAATAATACTTCAGCGGGCAGTTTGGACCTGTTGGTATCGTGTGATTCAACCGAAGGAAATGTTCATAGAAGTTTGCAGCTTTGCCCTGAAATTCAGAAGCAAAGATGAGGACATGCATTGCAACGTGTAATTCAAACAGGACTTGTGAAAATCTGTGCATGCGGGGTGCTCACCCTTGTGGACTGGGAACTAAGTCTCCCAAGAGAAGGCGCCAAATGCAGAAAGCATTTCAAAAAGCCTCCCAAACTGGAAAAGAACTCTGAACTAACTTGAGACTTAAAATCAGACATCCCAGCATTACGCGTCTCCCATCATGAATTCCTGTACGATGGGAACGATCCGAAGGCAGCTCTATTTCCGATTTGAATACGAGGGTTCTCGACGTTTGTGCATGTTTTCTTCTATGTGACAAAGTTTCAATATGTGCGTCTCAGTGTGATTTTAATGGACCCTTTGTTAAAAAGCACACGTGTGGGTGTATATATTCGGCCACACACACGGTTCCCACAGACGCATATATCGCCACGTGGATCTGAAGCATTTTTAAAGATAATTCCCCCCATTTGCTGGAACTGTCATGAACAGTTTCTCCATTGTCATCAACCATTGTTCAACGTGACATAAACGTAAAGGGGAGACTTGGGCTTTGAGGCTTGTGTGGTGCATTTTGGGTTTTCCATCTCCTTTCCACATTTAGGTTTATAAACCTAAACGTGTAGAACGGGAGTGGAAGGGTGTACACATCGTGAAGCAATGTTGCTTTGCATGGATGCCGTAAAGCCCTTTCTGGTCTCTGTTGTGTGGCCTCGGGTGCACATCCCCCCCGGGCTGGTCTGTGCTCAGTCCCGATGGACAAGGTAGATATTGGAGAACCGGACGGCGTCTGGCGTCAGCCAAAGGAGGAAATAGTCTCGTTGGCCCACTCAGAACAGGATGGATTCTGAATGCATAAAACTAATGGCAGAATTATGGGATCACACTCCCCACATAACAAGAACAAAGAATGGTTAATGTTCAACCTAGTACAAATAAACTATATTTGGCTTTCCATCCCTGGGAGAGTCTTTTTTTCAGGAGAGACCAGGCCACCTGCGGGGCATTCTCCCCACACTGCAAAGAGCAAGAACTTCTCGGTCAGTCTCAGTCTTGAAAGGGGGAGAGGGCAGCATTGATCGTAGACTATAAACAGCTCCAGGCCTGTCGTCTTCCTGGAACTTGAACCTGCGTGGTGGTCCGGAGGTGACTCTCTTCAAGTTGCAACAGCCGCCAACAAGCGGATGGATGGTCACCCTGGAAGCTGCATTAACATTTCCACTGCCCTACATACCTTTCTCCCCAGGTGTAACCCGTGCTGGGCACATCCTTCCGGCTGCAGGAGAAGACAGTGTGGACATGCTCATTCCGCTGTGACTTGTAAAGTTGGAGGCGCAAACCACACACACACGCGCACAGGCACACACACTATATTCGTATATCATTACAGCTTGAATTGCATCCCTCTGCCCAAATTCCTGTGTTGGATTTCTAACCCGCAGGAACTCAGACGTGACCTTATTTGGAAATAGGGTCCATGCGGATGTAATTACTTAAGGTCGCGCAGGAGTGACCCAGTAGGACTGGCATAAAGGGGAAATTATAAATGGACTGGTAATAAAATGTATTCATAAATTGACATATAACACTATAAAATATAGAAAGGGGGAATTTGGACACCAACAGACACAGGGAGCATGTTATGTGCAGCTGGGGTTTAAGCTGCCACACGCCACGGACACCCCAGAAGCTAGGGGGAGGATCCAGACCCTGCCAGGAGCTGTGGGCGGGGCTGTGGCCCCGTGGACGTCTTGGTCTCAGATTGGCCCCCTGCAAAGCTGGGAGACATGGACTATCTGTTGTTGAAGCTGCCTGTTTGTGGGACTGTGTTAGGCACCTGCAAGAAAATCCTCATCCCTATTGGGTATGTGATTTTTCTTCATTTAAGACACATGATGGGGATCCATGTAGCTTGCGTGCAGAGGTGGTCTGCGAGGCCCATCATGATTAAACGCTGGACTCGGAGGCTCACCTCAGGGGTTCACAGGCTGGCTTCTCCACTGGGGGCTGGGTGACATTAGGCAAGTTGTACACCCTCTCTGGGCTTCCTTGACCTCAAGAGAAAAATAGAATCTGCCTCATCCAGTGGTGGGGAGGGTGTGTGAGCTGATATAGGAAATGCATCCCGTGTAGGGCCTGGTAGACAGAACGGGCAGCAGATGCAATGGGGAAAAAAATAAAAATTCGCATTGATCTTAAAGAGAAGGAAACTCATTATCATAGAAATAGGACCTTATGTAGAACCTGGATGAAAGTTGAGACTAATGAAATCAACACCTCAGAAGGGGATTAAAAGCACCCAGTGTTTGACAATTCTGGTCATCACCCCATTCCCCCAGCCCAGTCAACCTACAATTCTCAGCATTCCGGGCTGGTCACTGAGGACTTGGGGCAGTTCTGGGTGATAATGTACATGCCACCTCCATTTGTGAGGATGTGTGAATCTCCTGTTTTCCAAAAATAGCATCTTCCAGCATGGGAAGTCTGTCTTGCTTTTGGGGAGGGACTGGTGCCCCTGCGGTCCAGATGGAGGGACCCTTCTCCTGGGTGGGCTCTGTCCACATACCCTCTTTAAACTATTCCTGCCCTCATCTCTGCAAACTAGCAATAGAAAGATACCTTTTCAAATGTCACCCTTAAATGTTCCCTTGTTTTCTTCTGATGCATGCATTTTCTTAAGATATCAAGGTTTTCTCATACAACAGAGTTGCCAAACATCATTAGCCTCTTATGATAATGGCAAAAAGCCAATTGTGCTTCCTGACCAGATCGCACTTATATGTGGAATCTCAACCAGCCAGACTCAGGGAAACAGAGCATAGATTGATGGTTGCCAGGGTCTGGGAGCTGGGGACTGGGGAGAAGTTGGTTTACAGGTACACATTTCTATTGTAAGATGAGTTAAGTTCTGGGGACCTACTATTCAGCATGGTGACTACAGTGAACATGTATCTAGTTAACTTAAGGAGTGCTTGCATGTTGCCAGAAGAGTAGATCTTAAATGTTGTCACCATGAAAAAGAAATGGAATTGCATGGTGGGGTGGAGGGGTTTGCTAAGGCCATGGTGGCATCATACTGCCCATGGTGTATTCTTATTAAACTTCCACAATTTTATGTGTCAGTTGTATGTCAACAAAGCTGGAAAAACATGTTCTTTCTGACTTTCCTGCAGGCATTTTTGCTTGGATTCTGTAGATGATGTTTATAGTGACTCTGGAGAGATTCGCCTCTTTCTTTCCATGGCCAATTCCCTATGAATGTAATTTTCTGTGATAATTCATATTGTTTGCCAAACGACTTTGTGTCTTTGCTAACCATATGGAATCTGACTTTCACATCGTGTTTTCTTTCTACTGCAATGCAGCTTGTTTATTTGGGACACTTTAATAGGATCTGTGTGCGCATCTGTCACTTTACCTTCTTTGAGATAATTTGCTGTACATTTGGTTGCTGTTTCATCCAGAGATTGTTGAGCACCTCATTCAGCGTCTTCAGGTGTCCTTGTGATTCACCTTTGAGGAGAACTCTATCGCCTCCCACCTGTCCCCAAATCCAATTCTTAAAAAAAGCATCTTTACGAAACCCTGAAGATGGGAATACCCATCCAAAACACCTTTCCTTGCTGTCTTAGGAGAGCCCGTCACCCCTAAATCTCACATCCATCTTTTTCTTCGTTGACAAACGTCACGTGGAAATGTCTTGTGATGCAGAGAATGGTTTCGGGTCTCACCAGACCTTTTCCCATCGAGTATCTCAAAGCGGTGTTGAAACCGATTTTCAGGCGTGCCCAGATGGGGCTCTGCTCACGCTGACAGGTCTTCAGGATTCAAATTCTAATCATAGCAGCGAACCGTGTAATTCTGTTCTGCAAAGCCTTGCTCTGAACCTGTCAGGCGTTTCCATACACATTCAACCTATTTTCTCACGGCCCTTGAATTTTTCTTTCTTCCATAAGGCCCGCTGGGAGGGTCAGAAACACAGGTAAGGGAGTCATTTGAGGCTAATAGCTCACTTTCTCAATTGGCAGCTTTAGCATCCTTTTCAAGAAGAGGATTCAATTCTTTTTTCGCTCTTAAGACAGTGACATGAGACCCGGGTTTGGGAGAGCTGCCGGCTTCGGTAGAAGGGAAGGCTGCATTCCGATGCGCTCCCCTACTCTGAGGGGACAGTGGCGAGAGGCAACCATTTGGCTTTCCTGAAATTCACCATTTTGAGCACCAGATGTGGGACATGGTCGGAAAGTAACCTTAATCTCTTCAAAGGGCTTCTTGACTACCTAACCGGTTTCACCTCCTAATGGTTGGTTTTCATGCTCCTGTGGTGCATGTAAGCACATCTCCTTGGGAATTCTGACAAGGGATGGTCCTTTGCACCCAGGTACGGGGCTGCCTGGCCACAAGCCCTCCCTGAAGATCTGAAAATGCATCTGTTAAGAGCCCGGGGTCAAGTGGCACCTTTCCTGTGTCCTTGACCCCACTGGTGCAGACCATGAGGTGAGAGATGCCCTGCGCATGGATGATTCTGCAGTTGTGCACTGCATTTGGGTCTCAGTGATCATTGCTTTCAGAGCTCAGCAGATACCTCTGTCCCCATAAGACCGTTATGTCATACAATTGGCCCTCGCTGACCCGTTACAGAGCTCAGATCCTTGTTCTATGCAAGAGGGCCGTTGTTCGTATGCTGCAGAACCACACGTTGTATTTCATGAGATGAATTTTCCATGCAAACGAGACCTTGGACCTCAGGAGAAAAGATGGGGAATGCAGAATTCCCAGGGGAGAAAGGCCTCTTAAATTAGCAGATGAAGACTCTGGTGTTGTATGGGATTCTAATGACATTTGGTAGAGGGAAAAACAAAGAAAAACTATATGTATTTTGTAAAAATGGAAATATATTTTACTTAAGGGGAGTTGGGCCTTAGAATATCAAAAATGTCATTTTTTTCAATATCTTATTCTAAGGTCTACAGTCTTAAAAATCGTTTAAAACAAGCTGACCAACAATTTCACAAATGCAATCAATGAGAGAGGGAGAGGTGGGTGTTAATGTTCACTGAATTTTATCATTAAAATTCGTTAAGATTTGCAAGAGAGAGAGAATGCTACAATTTCTGTATCCACCAGACTCTTTTAAAAGCAGGTTTCCTGAGGCCACCAAGTCCCATATGATTTTGTGTCAGTGAATTTAGGGGCAGGGATGACTGGGGAGTTGGGTTGTATTCCCCTACGACATGCCGTCCTGGGATGAATTAGTAACTGCAGAATCCGGAGGATGTCCCAAGGGTGTCTCCCACGCGGTGCCGAATTCTTCGCTGAGCCCCTGTAAGTGTGTGAGTAGCTTGAAAATTAACTTGCATTTGCGATCCGCTTTGACATCCCACAGGGCACCTCTGAATTATGCATTTGCATAGACGTCATTCCTATTCACCCTGACGTTTTTAACAGAGTTATTACTGGTAGTGTTTCCCCAGTGTCTTCATTTGCTTCTGTAGGCAGAGAATGTCTCCCACCAAGTTCTGTCTGAGCAGCGCAGGAGGTCGCCATCCGCAGGAAGGAACCCAGGGGCGTAGATCAAAGGCTTGGGAGATGCCACAGTAGAGAGAGAGGCATGGGGAAAACTGGGGAAAGGGGGAAGCTTCCGGGGCCAGGCCTGTCCGGTGAACACTTTCCCGAAGGTCAGACGCACAGGAAAATGTGTGAGCGTGTCCGGTTCCACAACAGGCACCAGTCCAGCTTCTAGTGTTGAAGCACGTGGGTGATCTGGGTTGGCCTCCACCCACGGACCATCTTCCTAATGGAGGCTTGTCCGCTGCAGTTCCAAACATGGATTCAGTGCATTGCCTGGGACCCAGCCAGCTAAGGGCACATCTGTGCTTGACAGGTGGCTCCCGCCCCCTCCCAGCCATCTCCCGCTTCTTGAACAGGTGCATGTGTGAAGTGAAGGATAACTGCTCATC